TATAATTTTACTAATTAATATTACAAAATAATAATGTATCATATTATATATAAGTTGAAAAAAAAAAAATCATTGATAATTATATTGTGCTTTCTAATCAACAAATTTAAATATAGATACTAAAAAATATAACAAAAATTGTCAGTTCATTCTTGATTAATTGATAAAGAATAAATGTTTTTAAAATACTTTTTTCTTGACCGTACATTTTTATTATGACTTCTATTGTTGTTATTGTTTTTTAAATGACAATGAACTTGATATGCGATTGCGGCTGCTTTCGGTCAATCATAATATCTGTCGTACAATTGCACTTAAATTTGATAATGCGTTGGCAATAGATAAGAGCAAAGTGAAGCTATACTTCGACCAAGCATACCCTGCAAATTAGAAAAATAGCTGCTATTGCATATGGATGAAATGGCCAGCAATCACAGAGTATTTCACAGTCAATAACCTTCAATTGAAGCGACGTTATGGCACGCGTGTTCCCGAAACCTTAAAACATTTTCTACACTCAATCGTTTTCGCATTCGTAATATACACCAAAATACATTTCAGCTGATAGAAAACATTTTTTCAAAGTGCTTAATTAGCGCTAAGTTGGCTTTATATTATCTCAAGTTCAAATGCGAAACATGATATGGATTGCGGTTGGCAAACACATGCTCGTGTCGACCTCCAAAGCAGAGTCAAGCCGCGTAACCCAGTTTGATGAAACGCAAACGCAATACATCGACTAACAATTACGCATCTGACTTTTGTGGTTATGTGGTTTTATGACTAAGCCAAAGCATTCAATTGATCTTAACATTGACTTAGTTTTTCGAAGACAACAAAACCTAATATGTTGACAAAGTTCTCACACTATCAGCAATGGGATTCAGTGGGAAATTTTGTATGGTTTTTTTCTCACTACAATTTTTAATCACAAATATTTGTGCTAATTATTGTTATTATTCATTTTGATGCTAAATTGCGTTGCAATATAATAATATTTTGCAAAAATATGTATTAAAATAGTAAATGCTCAAGTCGATCAATACTTTAATTATAACTTTAGTCTCTTTAATATTTCTCAAAATATTTCAGCTACCTTATACATAGATAAAATCAAAGATATTCTCATGTAAAGATACTTTAGCACATATATATATATATAATTTTGCTTACTAAATGAAATCTAATATTATATAAAATCCGGGTTCGAGACTCGAACTAGTTTAGAGCAGAACTTAAGTTCTAGCAGTCATTGTTGTTAAAAAAGACTCTTCATTGATAATTCAACTTAATCAATGTACTGAAATATTTTGACTTTCTTTTATATTATATAAAGCATGACATGCACAAATTTGCTGATTTCAATCGACGTCACAATTCAAATGTGTGTGAATGAGAGAGTCGCCTTTGCGCGATTCGATCGAATCTGAAAAAAATAAGAATTATATGTATAATGCATACATAATGCAAAATATTCATGGCCGTAGAGTCTTGCCATAGCACTCTGGCGATAAAGCTGATATACCATACTTCTAATGCGTATAGACATATATATATCTAGTACCATGTTTATTCTTTGATCTCTAACATCATGAATAGAAGCTATGTGTGATATAATTTTTATGATTGAGCACGCACCAAGTAGGCGTATCCAAAATTGTGAGACGAGACTACCAAGTACTATGTTTCAAATCGAAATCCCTTATCTTTACTAGCGGCTGACTAGAGTTAGCCCATTCATTTCGTAAGCTAGTGAAGAGGGCCTTAGAAAATATATATTTTTATTATAATAATTGTTTTTTTTTTTTTACGTGAAATATGTGTACGAAAAATTATTGGTTAGAATTATCCCATCTTATCGCAGAAGTAAATAAAAAAAAAATAAAAATAAATAAATAAAAATTAATAATAAACCTAATGCATGCATATCCATGTTATCATCATAATCTAAAAGTTTCGTGAAGAAAGTACATCCACAAAAAAAGTTACTAAGCAATTAAGTTCTCATAGTAACCGCACACTGCACTCCATACGTGCTTAGGTGTGGGTGCTTGTGTGTGCGTGTTTGTGTGTATGTGCGTGGGAATTGTGTAAGCAGAGAGACGCGAAAAATGATTGAAATAGGTATTGCTCGAAGGGTTAAGGTGATCTCGTAGTCGAGCAGTCTCGACTAGAGCTTTCTTACTTGTTTTAAATATGAACATATATGTATATTTGCATTGTATTCCTGTATTAATTGCAAACACAAATTGTAAACACAAACAATGCTATATTATTTATACATATGTATATATTGTTATAATATATATTTCATTACATATATACATGTCTGACTCAATAAAGTAAGCAATAAATAAAGCGTAAAGCATTTGAATACGCTTTTAATAGCTCGCAATTAATTAATTGAGTCAATCGTTAGTTGTTGGTAAATCATAAAGTGATACACAATCTCTGTATATATTGCTTAATTATTGAATTATTGAATTATTGAATTTTACTATTAAAATGCATTGATTTATTTAGATTGAATTAAAAGTTTAGTTGGGCAATTTAGCTCAAAAGATCGAACCTGCTTAGAAATCACCGGCATAAGTATTTACCTATGTATGTTGTATTTATTTATTATTATTGTAGTTATTAA